GCTGGCTTCAACTGCATCTAAAACATCTGGACACTAAAAGGAACAAAATCCCAGAAATTTAAGTGAAGCTCATCTGAACAATGCTAAAAAAAATTTTAATTTTTTAAAAATCCTTCAGTAAATACTTCCATAGCACCAAAAAGCAGGAAATCTCTCTCCTGAACAGATTCTGCATCAGCTCAATGATCCTTGTGGGTCCCTTCCAACTCACAACATTCTATGATCTAACTTCCAGTTAGGGAAGGGACATTGGTCTGCTTAAAAATAACAAAGAATACATAGAATCTCTTTAAATGCTTCAGATACAGTAGAGCTTGAGTTAAAAGTCAGTACTCATTTGACAGAAGAGTTAACACAACAGAAACAGTATTTTGTCACAGAGCACATAAGACCTTCAAATATTTACACTTCATACAATCCTTAACATTATTCAGTTTGAGTAAATTCATAAAACTAATTTCCTCAAAAAACACCCCAAAACCTCCAAAAAACAAACCCTCCACAAAAAATCTTCATCTTCCAAACCAAAAACTATTCTTTGAAGACACTAACATTCCTCAAATGCAAAAGTAGCTGATCATGAAGAGAAAAATATATCAAGACTGAATGCATCAACAGTTCTACTCTGACCATTTATATCAGGATAACACCTAAAAAAAAAAAAATCAACTAAATAAAAAAAAACCACACCAAAAAACCAGCATCAGCTTCCAGAAGCAAGCTGAAGAACAAGCTTCAGCAGAGGAAAGCCTGTTGACCAAAGGCTGAAATCCTCTATTCACAGGTTGGGTAAGGCAGAATGATGACTCACTCTCAGCACAACTCCAGCTGTGATTGCAAATACCAGTTGCAGTCTGTGAGTAGGTTTCCTAAATTGCTCTAAGTATTGACCACTCACTTAAAAATCCAAAAACCCATCCGAGTGACCAAAAAAACCCCACACCAACCAACCACAAATACTTTTAATTTGATGCAGTAACTTTTTTGATAAGTTCAAAGATGCCAAAGGCTGAAAGACCATAAAGAACTAGTTTTAAGCTCTCCTACAATCTTCTGTGCTGTGTTTTCTTGCCTGGAAGCAATTCCTGGAGCATGCAACTGCCATAAACTGTGGCAAAACCTGGAAACCAACAGAGAAGCAGCCAGAAACAGCACCTCTCAGCAAACTAATTTATTCTACAATCTATACTTCTACACCTGAAGTTACAGCTAAAGCTCTTTGGGACAAGTATGACATATGGAAGTTACTGCCCTACTAGCAGCTTGCAAACAAACTCCACCTTCTCCCTCCTCTACATGAGTAAGTGCCCTGGGTCACATCTGTCAACTTGAAGGATTATTACAAGTCATTACTGTTCTGCTGTTAACAGCAACTAAATTGACAGCATTGAAAAATCACAGCAAGGCAATCAGCAATCCCTTGTCAGCATTAAAAGAGAGCTTTGAAAAATTGTGGCTGTTTACCTACTGTGACCTGAGAAGAACAAATTGCCACTCCACCTTAAAACAGGGACAACTCTTAATAAAAAACTCCAAAACAAAACAACAAAAAACCCTAAAAAAAAAAAAACAACCCAAAGAAAACCAACCCCAAAACACAGACAGACCACCACCACCACCCCAACATCACAGTCATAAGTTGAAGAAGCTGAAGGCGACTACAATGGTTGAGAAGGCCTTTAGCAGCAACAGTTTCAAATGACAGACTAAAACAAGTTCCTAGAAAAATGCACGTGTAACTCATAAAAAGACAAAGTTAGGACCTACAAGTTTCAGTAGAAGAAAACACAGCTAAGCAGAAGTGTACATAACTGAATTTTATTCCCAGAAAAGTCAGACCTATGAGTCAGCCACAAGACGATGTTTGCAAAGCAAAAGGACTGCTTTGTTTCCTTCTTCGGCACACACGAGTTCTCTCTCCCTCCTTCCCTCCTCCTACATGCAGCAAGTCAAGACCTTTTTTCCTCAAGTTCATCCAAAAAATGTTGAGGATTTTAGCTTAGTCAAGAGGCAAGTCATTCATTTGTATTTTATGTTAGAACAGTTTAGGTTTTGTTGTTGAAAGCATTCTCTGCCAGGGGAATAAAAGATTATCCATTACCACCCAGTAACAAGCAATCCCTGTAAGCTCTGGAGCTCAGACTAAACTGACAGCAACACTGGCATCGTGCATCTCAAAAAAACACCAAACCACATCTATAGATAAAGCATTTTTCAGTGATTAGTTTGTTCTCTGCTTCCATCTCTAACTTCTGGCTCAGATTCTGATGGCTGGATCTCCTTCTAAGAAGAACAAGT